CAAAGACAAAACCCAAGTTCCTCTAGAAATAGATGGTGTCCCCAGTCCCCTTTCCCACTGCCATTCTTTAGTTAGGTGCTCATCTAGTTTATTTTAGTCACTATCTAAGCACTCTACCTGTCTTTATCTCATCCCTCTTCAATATTCTTTCATTGCTGTGAGAGTTCCTTTTAAAATACAATGATCATAGCATGTGCTCTTGCCTTGAAGTGAAATAAAACAAACTAAACTTAGTACAATAGCTCCTTGTCACCTATAAGTCCAAACACCCTAGTATGGCCCCCGCGTCCTTTGTTCCTTGTCTTCTTGACCACATTCCCAGTGCACTTCAGAATCCCATTATTGGTTCCTCACACTAAACTCTTCTATGCCTTTATGTTCTCACTCTCCACATTCCTTCTGATTTCTCCCAGGCTGGATGTCAAAAAGTTGTATGCTTTCTTTAAGACCCTGCTTAAATGCTACTGCCTTTTGAAGTCTTTCCTTTATACTCCCAGGAAGGAGTAACTGTTTCTCTTTGGTGCTTCTAAGGCACATTGTATAGACATCTATTATGAGTGGCCTTTGTTTACATTACTCTCTCTTACCATTAAACTGAGGAACTTTCACCCATATTGTTTTGTTTTATTTTTTCCCAAGGTGCTATTATGATAACAGGCACTTAGGAAGTAATCATATATTTGTTTATCAAATATTTGTGACTGTTAGCATAGAAGCTAGAGTAAGAACAATAATAGGAGTTAAAAAAGTTCAAAACCACAAACATCTTGCAGTCCCTCAAAATGTACCTTTTAAACGTAGCCCAACACAATGTATAAAACCTACATATTTAACTGCCTGCTATAAATGTATCTGTGAAGTTGCTGGAGAGTCTCTAACATATCTACAAGGATTATACCCATTCTGTAATTTTTTTTTTTGTCAAGTAAATACAGAAATGGGGTTGGTGTTGGATTGATATGGAAAGTAAATGAACTGCAATATCTTTAAGCAAAAAAATATTTAAAATACACTACAGATGGCTGCTGAAAGTCCTCCTTTTTCCTTTGGGGCCTTTTTAATGTGCTGGTAAGAGGAATTCAGTTCTCTATTGTCCATCACATTTTAACCAGAAGTTGATAAAAGGGGAAGCTACAGCCTTCACTACAACAATACAAACAATTCAAGTCCATTGCTATCCTAGCTAGCTGGCTGACTGCCATTGTGCTATGGCTCTGTGCTTTTGCACTTACACAGCTTTTAGAAAGAATAAGAAAAAAAATGCTGTGGATTTTTTTTTTCTTTTGGCTTTTAAGCTTTCTTGCCAGTGAATTGTTGCAAGCCTTATCATTTACGCATTAACTATAATGAATCAATCACTAATACGTTTCATATTATTTAAAAGACCTTTGACAAAAGTAATTGGGAACCACAAAATAGGAAGTAAAAGACCTGAATCCTTGTGCTATTAGCTGCATGCTCCTGGGTAAATAAATATTTCTGAGTTTCTATTATTATATTGGTCAAGTGAAGGCATTCAACTAAATCAAAATTTCATAAAATGCCACAGGAACAAGTTAACTATTATAAGAGAAAAAAGTGAAGGCATCAGTGAAAAAGCTCATGGAACACTGAATTCAATAAAATTAAGTAGATTTTATTTTGAACCTCAAGACTTCTCTGTACCTTTGATATGTTAATATCCAGCATTACTCTCTAAGAACAGATATGATACTCAGTTTTTTCAAATGTATATAACCCCAGAAAACTGATTTTTGACTTAGAATATCTACTATTGTCTTATGATACAAGAAACACTGGAAAAGTCCAAACTGTATGACATCTGAAAGGTCTTTAAAAAATGGTATAAATTTTTTTTGATATGTATAATTGTTTTCTTTTAAAACTCACATTTCTATGTGTTATAAGCTGATATGATTATTTCCACAATTTATCTGATATATTTATTGAGTTCCTACAGTATGCTAGCTACTGGTGATACAAAGATGAATTAGATATTATTCTACATTTAAGTGTTTCATGTTCTATGAGTGAAGCAGACATGTGAACATGTAATTACTTACGTGACTGCATAACAGAAAAATCAACAGCATGCTGCAGGAGCAGAGAGAAGATATGTTTTGAAAATAATCAGAAAAATTGCTATGAAAGACTTTTTGGCCTTTAAAATGTGATTTGCTATGTTGTATGGATATAGCTTTTAGTAGAATAAAATTTCCCCAGCTGACATTTTCTGCAATTGTTTTCTAATTCCTACTACCTCAAATTTAAGGTGCCAAGATTAAAAGGTTAAGATAAATAGACTGGAAACATGTTTTTATATGATCTCTATTACAGTAATTTTTTTTTAGTAAACCTGAACAAAAAGTAGTATCTTATATCTGTTCTTGCCTATCCTACTTGAAATGAGTAACAGAATTTAGAAAAATTTTTGAAACAATTTTTCATAGAAGAAAGTATTTTAAATTAACTGAGTCATACAACTACAACATTTAAGTCCATGTATTTTAAAATGATATACATCCCAAGTCCCTTCCCGAATATAAGATTTTAAAAGACCTTCAGACTTATCTCTAATTTTTTAAAAAACCTTCTATCTCTGCTAATAGGAGGATTTATACTATGACCTTATTGCAATTTAATTTATGCAAGCAGCTCAAGTTAAAATTATTCTTTTAAAAACCATTTATATAATCTTCAAAAACTGCATCTACCAAGCTGAACCAATTTATTTCAGGTATAATAAGTCATTATTTGATTGAATTTAAAAATTAGTGTCATCAGTGTATTCTAACATATCAATATTCTCATTCTCTTGACAGAACATCACTAATAGGGTAAATAAGAACTCTGAAATGTCATTTTTAATGTTTAAATATTTATGCTAGGACATTCATGTGTTTGTAGGCCTGGCGTATTTATTCAACTTAATATAGTGATGCTTGAACTTAAGAACCACTTTGAGGGCTAAAGCTCAGATTACCAGGTCTTACCTGGAGATAGTCTAATTCAGAAAGTCTTGGATGAAGCTGAGAATCTGTCTTTCTATGACGTTTCAATGGCTGCTGCTGCTGCTGCTGGTCCAGGTTACACACTTTAAGAGGCACTGCTTTCACAGGTCCCAATTTATTAGATACCTATCTAGGTCTCTATGTTGTTCTGAGTTCCTCCGCCAGAGCCCAATCTGGGGCCCTGATGAAGCAAGGAGAGTTGATTATCCCACTGTCCCCAAACCAAAGTCACCTTGTGTTCATTTCTTGGTTCTGCCATCACAACCTCCTTTACCAAAAACTAGCAGATCTTCCCTCCCATAATGTTTTCTACTTTCAGCTAACAATAGTAGAATAATAGGTCATTAGTTTCAAAATGTGGCCCACACTTTGGGATTCTTTCCCTCTTATCACTGTCTATTTTTCACATAACCCATTTTTCTCTTTCATAACATCCTTATAGTACCTTGGTTCTTTCTGGAGCTCATTTGCCACTCTATTTAATTAGATGCGATTGCCAGTCTATATCACTATATAGCCTAATTAATAAATAGCCTATATTCATTAATTTGTTAATTCACTCCACAAACATTTGTTAAAACCAACACATAAATAATATAACAAAAATTCTGCACTCATGGACTTACGTTACAGGTAGGGAGATGCTTCACACACACACATGCTTCACACCCACATACACACACACACACACACGAGTATATAGGCTAGAAGAGTAGGATACAGACAGGGTAGGAGCTGAGACTGTTCTAACCATTATGAGTTAGGATATCAACAGCCTGTGGGTAAGGAGAAACTGAAGACAAATATTAGAATTCCCTGGGTATCTAGCTTTTGGAGTTGACTGTACAAAAATGCACAATGAATTGTATACAGTTCCTATTTCAGAATATGAGTACATTGCACCTTAATCTTTTGTGTTTCTCATAAATGCTGAATTAAACAACTACTGTAGGTATTTAGACACAATAATTCTGAAAATATGCAATTCCTTCCTGCACAACAAAGTCAAAATTTTGAGTGAAGAGGGACCAAAATCAGGCCAGAAATGTATATTATAACATTATCTTACCAAATCAATGTTCTTAAACAGTGATGATTCTGATAAATCAGCAGAGCAATTTCCAGCAAAATAATTAGTTCATCTCTCACACACACACACACACACACACACACCCCTTTAAGAAATTTGAGGTAATAAAGAAGCAAAAATAAGCCTAAAGTAAGAGTTTTTCTATGTTTACAACACCTTCAAGAAAAGCAACAAGCTTATTATGCTAGATGATTTGAAATGTTTTAATCTTTATATCATTAGCTTCCAGGTAAATCTGAGGATATCTGAACTGAATGAAATTTATTAACCAGAGTTTCTTTCTAACAAGGAAAATAAGTCTATGTTTGTAATTTTGCTTTTACAGATATTAACATATTCAACTATGTTACCTGAAATTTAAAAAAAAAAATCTCCCTAGCCACACATTTATTTTCAGTATTACAGAGCTAAAATGGCCTTGTAAAGAAAATCATCCTAGTTTTAAAAATATCCCAAAATAGGCTAGATGCAGTGGATCACGCCTGCAATCCCAGCACTTTGGGAGGCCGAGGCTGATGGATCACAAGGTCAAGAGATGGAGACCAGCCTGACCAACATGGTAAAACCCCAACTCTACTAAAAATACAAAAATTAGCTGGGCATGGTGGCGCGTGCCTGTAGTCCCAGCTACTCGGGAGACTGAGGCAGGAGAATCGCTTGAATCCGGGAGGCTGAGGTTGCAGCAAGCTGAGATTGCGGCATTGCACTCCAGCCTGGTGACAGAGGGAGACTCTGTCTCACAGAAAAAAAAAAATCCCTAAAGAATTATCTATCAAAATAAAATATTTATCAAAATAACAAGTCCTTTGATTTACACTATTTAATAGGAGTTTCTCTTATTTTCTTATTATAAAATTGCTTCATGCACGCTTCACCATCATATATGCTGATAGCATTACCTGTCTGCATCCACTGTCACATCGTGAACCCCTCTCTGGATGACGTCCCGGGAACTTGCTGTATCTGGTATTCGGTTCAGACTTCTAGTGTATAGGTTAAGTCCTCCATCTGTCATGTACCTGAAAAGAAATGTCTAATTAATCCACAGAAAATAAAATCAACTCAACTGTACAATTTAACTTAAACAAACGGTGTCCACAATTTTCAATAATTACTCAAATATATTCTATTATCTTTTTTTTTCTGTATAAACATTCTACTCACCAGGGATAATTAAAATATTTTTTCAAGTTTACTAGGAAATCAATATTCCTGACTACAAGAAGTAACTAGACTATCAGAGAACCTATTTTTCTCTTTTGTTATTAATATTATGAATAGACTTGCAGATAATATAACTGTTAGAAAACTAAAAGGAAGAAAATTTCATTTTTGAAATACTGTTTTTGAAGAGGTCATAGGAGTAAAGGATCAAAGCCTAAACTTCCACCATATCTGCCATCTTCCTAGAATTCTGTTTCTATATTTAAATTATATTTAATATCTCATATCAGCTGCTGTCACAGCACTGTCAAAATCAGCTGTGTCCCCACCCAAATCTTACCCTGAACTGTAATAAGCCCCATGTGTCAAGTGTCAAGGGTGGGGCCAGGTAGAGACAACCGAATAATGGGGGTGGTTTTCCCCATACTGTTCTCGTGTTAGTGAATAAGTCTCACGAGATCTCATGGTTTTATAAATGGTAGTTCCCTTGCACAAGCTCTCTTGCCTGCGGTGCGCCATGTAATATGTCCCTTGCTTTTCCGCTATGATTGTGAGGCCTCCCCTGCCATGTGAAACTGTGAGTCAATTAAAACTCTTTCCTTTATAAACCACCCAGTCCCAAGTATGTCTTTATTAGCAGAATTACTTTATGTCTTTATGTCTTTATTAGCAGATAACTAATACAGCTATCTTCCTATAATTCTATGTTTTTATATTTAATATCTCATATCAGCTGCTGTCTGTCACAATTAGCTAATTTGTAAGTGCAGGGGTACACAGAGAATCTAAAGTGATCCTTACCACTCGCCTAAAGAAACTCCAGTTCAGCATCTTCCTTTACAGAAGCATAAATAACATTAAAAGATGCCCCTCAGATTAAATGTGCTAGGTAAAAAATCCATGCTGATAACGAATGATTGCTGTGAACCTTTTTTTAATGATTGTTTGGGAAAAAATCAAGCACCTAGGAGAGAAATCCTTACATGTAGACACGCAGACAGTTTCCTAAGGTCAGTGTGTAAGGATGGTTGAATGTAGACCAGAGCCAGACCGCTTGGGTTCAACTATAGTGCTGCTACTTACTAGCTGTGTGTGCTCAGGTAAGTCACTTAAACAAGCTATATTTAAATTGCTTCATCTGTAAAACGGACACAGTAATGATATGCTCACTTCTTGCAGTGATGTTGAGCTACCAATGAGTTAATGTATATATAACATGCATAGAGCATTGTCTAGCACATTATAAGTACTATATAAATACTGACTATCTTTAAAAATACTAGCTATTTTATGTATTAGAGTTTCTAGAGTCACTAAAATAGCTCATATCTTGAATATGAAATTAGAGGAAGCATTAAGATTAGGAATCTCTGGTGTAAAAGATGGATCTTTTTAACACAGCTCAAGTAACTCTAACCTTTCACACACTGTTATGCATACTTCAGTCATTTCAAAGTTTACTAAATGAGAAATGAGGGAGGATCAAGGCAGAAGCAGGATTAAAGTATATCTACCCCTCACTCCTGTGCCTTAATTTTAATTTTTACTCCACAGAATTCTTAGATTAGTTTGTGTTTGGTCATGTGACTTAAAGTAGAATTTTAGGTTATATTCTTGGCTCAACTATTTATACCATGACACCTGAAGATAACTTCAATTTCCACCAAATTAAAATATGCAACTTTTATCCCAATTTTCCAGGGTGTTTTCTACTTTATAAACAGAGACTTTTCAAAGAGGTTCATTATGAGTAAGAGGCCTTTCTCTGACTAATTCCTAATTACTGACAGATTCATATCCCCCAGTGTTTAAAGTAATTTCAAAAAGAGGAGAAAGAGATAAGCCTTTGCATGCTTCAAGAAATTTTGAATTCTCAGAATGCTGATTAACTAACTTTTTGAGTTACACCTAGAGTACATGGAAAAAATGAAACTTTATTCCCATTTAAATGACTTCAAGACATTCTTTGTGGTTGCATGAGAAAATCCTAAATTAAACATCTTCATTCATTACTATTTTATTGAGTCTTTTGTAACTTTAATCTGTAAAACATATTTTTAAACATTTTCAAAAGAGTTAACTTTATGATTCAACTTTTTCAGGACTCATAGCATAAATACTTTTTTTTTTTTTTTTTTTGAGACGGAGTCTCACTCTGTTACCCAGGTTGGGGTACAGTGGTGAGATCTTGGCTCACTGCAACCTCCACTTTCCGGGTTCAAGCAATTCTCCTGCTTCAGCCTCCCAAGTAGCTGGGATTACTGGTGTGCACCACCATGTCCAGCTAATTTTTTGTATTTTTAGTAGAGATGGAGTTTCACCATGTTGGCCAGGCTGGTCTCGAACTCCTGACCTCTGGTGGTCCATCTGTCTCAGCCTCCTGAAGTGTTGCGATTACAGGTATGAGCCGCCACACCTGGCCAGCATAAACACTTCTAAGCCCCCTTTACTTAAAGAAAACACCATCAAATTAAACTTTTCCTGGGATATCTCCAGCCCTCTTATCTTCTCACATTTTAATTCTAGGCTGAGATACTGGGGCTGCCTCCTACGTCAGCCAACAAGGGCACACTGCATAGGCTGATGAGCAATAGAAAGCCCAACACATCCTGGATATCCTCGCACAATCAACCTTGAACTGAGACCAGCCCCATCACCTGCTGACCAGATCTTACCAGATTCCGCACAGGTAAGAGAACTGAGTCATGACTTAAATTTCAGTGTCCTGTACTCTAACATATGAAAGAACAATTGTATGTGAGCAAACGGGCAATCAATACCAGGGGAAGTTTTCATGTAGGATTTGGGGTATTTTTACTTATTAACATAAGACATGTAGACCATCGATGCACATTTAAATGGACTCATTTGTGAGACTATCCAAGACTTTTTGAAAGATGTTAGGGAACAAAAATAGAGGAAACAAGAAGTCTGAATCATGTTTTAAATGAAGCAGAATCAAAAAGGAAGGACAAAAGCTATAACAGGATTTAAAAAAAAATTAATGAGTTAAGCAGAGACTAACTAGATGTCATCAAACCAATTTCCCTCTCCTCCTGGGCACACAGCTGAACCATATAACCTAGTTTCTTTTACAGTCAGATGTGGTCACGCAGCTGTTCTAGACAAATGAATGTAGGCAGAACTCATATGCATGACTTCCAGGCCTGATACATACAAAATGTTCTCACACCCTGGTTCTTCCCCCTCTTTTGCCATTTGCCTGTTGAATATCAATGCCTAGGGTGACACTGGAAATCTGGTTGGGGAACAACAGAATTACCATCCATCTTATTCTCTGAATGACTTCGTGGAGTGCATTCCCCAAGTGAAGATCAGAAACATCAGTGAAGGTTTTATGTGAAGAACAAATTAGCTTCTTTGTGTTAAGTTACTGAGATTTCGAGATTTCTCTGTTTTAGAAATTAATGTTAACTAATATAGTTAACACATTATTCTTGTATTCTTGCATATATTGCATGTATTCTTGCAAAATACAAAATGCTCTTGAGTACAATATGCCTGTAACATATATTATTATATGTAGAACTCAGTTGTTAAAAAACATTTGAAACAACTACTTAAGAATATTTCTGTGTGTGTGTGTGTGTGTATATATATACATATGTGTGTGCGTATTGTGCATATTATAATTAATTTACTGAATAACTGGACGGCTACAAAAATATGAAAACATCATCCTGTGAGTCACATGTGGGCATGTACTGTGTCTGTATTATTCACCACTGAATGCACAGTGCCTGGTATGCTGCTTGACACATAGGATGAACTCGATAAATATTTTTAATAGACATATACATGTATACATAATTCAGCTTATGATTATGATAAGCTTATGATCCCTGTTCTTTCTGTATTCTTTTCCCAGGAGCCCTAATGCCTCCCACAATTCCCGCTCTCTTTTATTGAGATGAGACACAATAGCTCTCTATCCTGGAGAAACAATCTTCATATCCCACCGTCTCCCACTCCACATCTCTAACTCCAGATTCATCATCTCCTCGCTCTGCTTTCTCATTAAAAAATCCTCTCTCTCTTGCTCGCTATCTTTCTCTGCTAATTTTCTCTAACGGTATAATTTTCCATCTCCTGTGCTTATAATGTAGGTATCTTAATTCTTGCCTGCCTTATGCCCTTATGGGTAGTCTATCTCTGGCTCTATAAACTTTTCCTTTGCAGGGCTTCCCATATCCATTATTTTCCTAATTTTATCCCTACAAATGCCACTGCCATATTTCTTTTTTTTTTTTTTTTTTTTTTTTTGAGACGGGGTCTCGCTCTGTCACCCAGGCTGGAGTGCAGTGGCAGGATCTCAGCTCACTGCAAGCTCCGCCTCCCAGGTTTACGCCATTCTCCTGCCTCAGCCTCCCGAGTAGCTGGGACTACAGGCGCCCGCCACCACGCCCGGCTAGTTTTTGTATTTTTAGTAGAGACGGGGTTTCAACGTGTTAGCCAGGATGGTCTCGATCTCCTGACCTCATGATCCGCCCGTCTCAGCCTCCCAAAGTGCTGGGATTACAGGCTTGAGCCACCGCGCCCGGCTGCCACTGCCATATTTCTAATCTTACCAGCTGCGAGCCAGAGCTCTTGCAATAGTTCCTGAAATCGAACCCCAGAGTTTCTCCCCTAAATTTGTTTTGCCTATTTCCCATAAAGTGTCCTTTCAAAAGCCATCACCATCCTCATGCCATGTTCTATGACTATTTAGTAATCTCTAGGATATAGTATTTTACATAGCTTATAATGTAGTTTAAACTTCTTAGCATAATGATGTTAAGGTCTGTCAAAATAGTGCCTATCTCTAAAACATTATCTTTAAATATTCACATTCCATGACTCTCAGTTAAAAGTCATCAATATCATCTAATCCACTGTCCCTCTGATTCTGAAAATTACATTTTATGCAAGCTTTCTGAATAATTTATACTTTCTAAGTTTGTACTTTTCTTATATATGTATTTTAAATATTTTTCCTTTGTCTACAGCTTTTAAATCAGAAAATAGAACTAAAATGTTTCTTTTTCTTATTCACTCCTTTCTATTTCATGTGAGGGTTTTGTACTTTCTCCTCATTCTGAACTCTTAGCTCAATTTTTATCTCTATAAACCTTTTGAAATTCCCAACATACTGCATTGTAGATGTCCCTTGATTTCTTATTCAAACTGCTCCCAAGATATGCTGTCACTCTCCAGATAAACATTCTACATGAGTGTGAGTATATACAGTCAATCATCATTATTCACAAATTCTATACTTGTGAAGTTGCCTACTTGCTAAAATTTATATGTAACCACAAAATCTAAACTCATAGTACTTTCACAGTCACTCATGGCTATGAACAGAACAGTGAAAAAAATGAGTCTCAGACGTTTCCAGCTAAAGCTAAATAAAGTGATACTCTGCCTTCTTATATCAGCTCTAATATCACAACAAATGTTCTTCTATGCCCTATTTAGTGCCACATTTTCCACATTTGTCTGTGTGTGTGTGTGTGTGTGTATGTGTGTTTACTTTTATTTTTTTGAGACGGAATCTCGCTCTGTGGCCCAGGCTGGAGTGCAGTGACGCGGTCTTGGATCACTGCAAGCTACGCCTCCCGGGTTCACGCCATTCTCCTGCCTCCGCCTCCCAAGTATCTGGGACTACAGGTGCCCGCCACCACGCTCAGCTAATTTTTTTTTTTTTTTTTTGTATTTTTTAGTAGAGATGGGGTTTCACCATGTTAGCCAGAATGGTCTCCATCTCCTGACCTCGTGATCTGCCCGCCTCGGCCTCCCGAAGTGCTGGGATTACAGGTGTGAGCCACCGCGCCACGCCTTCTTTTTGTGTTTTTATGCTGAGAATTGTGCTGTTTAAAATGGCCCCCAAACTTGGTGCTGAAGTGTCATATTATGTTTCTAATTGCAAGAAGTCTTCAATGTGTCTCACAGAGAAACTATGCACTAGATAAGCTCCTTTCAGGCCTGAGTTATGGTGCTGTTGGCTGTGAGTTCCATGTGAATGAATCAGTAGTATGTATTAAATAAAGTGTCTTTAAAGAGAGACACACGTAAAGCAAGGTTATGTATTGATCAGTTGACAAAAATATTGTGGCCAAAAACAGGAACCAAAACCTATATCTCTACTAGGGACCACAGTTCAGTATTCACTAATGCAGTGTTTGTGGTGACTCCATAGAACATAAGTACCATGAATAATGATATTGAGTGCACACAGGTATATATACATACACACACACACACACAAACACACACACACACATACATACACGTATACATACATACATATATTAGATAGAGTCTCACTCCGTCACCCAGGCTGGAGTGGTGCAGTGGTACAATCTCAGCTCACTGCAACTTCTGCCTCCCGGATTCAGGTGGTTCTCCGGCCTCAGTCTCCCAAGTAGCTGGGAATACAGGCACATGCCACCATGCCTGGCTAACATTTTTAGTGGAGATGGGGTTTTGCCATGTTGGACAGGCTGGTCTTGAACTCCTGACCACAGGTGATCCACCTGCCTTGGCCTCCCAAAGTGTTGGGATTACAGGCATGAATCACTGTGCCCAGCCTTTGTATATATATTTTTATATATAATATATGGGTATATTTATGTATATAATTAGCCATACAAATATATTTGAATAGTGAATATAAAACTGAATTCACACATATGTCCACATTTAAGGAGATTGAGAAAAAAAGAGCAGAGGGGATAGAGTGGAAAGAATAGAGAAGAAAGAAGAGAGAGATGGGAGAAAGAGTGTGCCTTAGACACTCTTGCTTTGCCATCATGTTTTCTGAACTGGGCATTGCCTCCTAAGCTATGTTAAATACACACAAAAATGATAATTATAACTAACAACCACCAAAAATTGGTATGGTTATTAATGATAATAAATGTAATAGTGATGATAAAGAGGAGGATGATAAATTTACTGAATGCTTGTATCATGCCAAGCATTGTGCAAACTAAACTTGGGAATGATCCTAACAACTTCATGAAGATGGTACAATTTTATCCTTATTTTAGATGGCAAAAACTCATTTGGATACATTAGGTTCCCAAGGGGTCCACAGATAGCGAACGGGAGAGATTCAAACGAGGCACTCTGAATCCAGTGGCAAATGAACAACAATCTATCTTAATTAATCATAATTAGCCTCTATAATTCTAAATTTTTAGAAAGTCAGGTAGGGTGGATACCAGGAATGGCCTAGTAGGTATCAAGATATCAGAGCAAAGCTATAAATCTAATCAAAAGCTATTTTGTACTCTTTTTTTAGGTCGTGTCACCATTCAAACACAAACTTTTCATGAATGAAGTCAGGAAGGGTCACTTATATAGAAGAATTATTTCCTACATGGGTCCTCTCAGATGCATAATGACAAAGAGTAGGTCAAAATCCAGACTCTCACAAAGTTTATAGACAAAGTCAATTGGGAAACTTGTCCGCACATTACTGAGCCTGTGTTTGAAGTCAGACATAACTGAGTTCTAATGCAGGTCTGCCGTTTCACTAGCGTTAGGCCCCAGCCAGGGCCAATTAGACTCAGTTTCCTTATCGATAGAACATGTATAAAAACATTCACCTCATAAGCATTACTGGTGGTGGGAAGGTAAAGTAAAATAGTATCTTCAAAGCATTTAACAAGAGCATAGTACATAACAGGAAATGCTCAAAATGGCAATTACAATTATTAATAGAATATCCTATTGCCTCCCTTTGGGCCTATTCTCTGATTAAGCCAAATATCCCAAATTGTTAATATACTCTAAGAGTTTTACAATCACAACATGTTTTGGGATGTAATAGGACGCAGAAGAAAAACAGGGTCTGAGATGTATTGAAATCTGATACCATCAAAAGAAAATGAACAGAGTGAAACTTTCAACTCCAAAGTTATGTTTCCCTCAAGTTAAATTGGGGGTGCATAATTGAAGACAGTAAGAAAATATTTGTCCTCAAAGCAGTTACAGGCAGCTTCTGACAAGCTAAAAAAGAAGAAAAATCAAGCAAATCAGCAAAACTCCTCCTGTCTCCTTCCCACGTCCTTCACTACAAAATCTGTTACTTAAGAAGCATGTGAAAATCACTCTGAAAAACAGAAGCCACATGTGTTTCTCTCAACAACAGAAAAACCTGGTGGTTTATAATGAATTTATAGAAATCTTGGATTCTTTAGTCTCCATGAACGAGCAGAGGAAGGGCCCTTCAACACTGAATAACCTCAGATATCTCATATTTTCTCACGACTTTCTGGGAAAACTTACACATCTGTTTATAGTGAATGTATTCTAGTAGACCACCTCCCCTCTTCACACAATGCTGATGGAGAACAGGGCCACTTACCCACTGTTGATGTCATCAGTCCTGAGACTTTTCCCAAGGATATCACCATCACTCATATATCCACCTACATCGACTTCAGAAGACACGTCCAGGTCACTGCTTGCTTTTTCATTCATGTCAATCTGTGACATGTTTCCCAGCCGAGAGACAGCAGCTCGACGGAGAGGCGTGGTATACATGAACCTCGAGGGGTCTGTGTGGATGAATCGACTGGTACCACTGCGAGGATAGCCAGCACCCAGGGAGGGAGCATCTCCTGCCTGAAGTCGCGGACATGCCTGGCCCAACCTCCATGTCATGGGGGTGGGTCGACTTGTCAAGTTGGGTATGCTCCTTCCATTCACTTCTGTTGTCACAGTGCTGTCAAATGTTGTCTCCAAGGTGCTGTCAAATAAAATGGAGAAATAACTAAACTCTGGTTCACTTAGGGCCACAACCTAGAATGCATGATGACAGAAAAGGCTAGAGTTGACGGTCATCTCTTATAAACATGTCATCTTCCTGAAAGCTAAACTATATGTTCATTTCGAGGTCAAACTGTGGAAAGGGGCATACATTTTACAGCTTTTGGTTGTTTTCAAAAGAAAGGCCATAAGTACACCTTGGGTAAAACAACATATTGCTTTACATTTTCAACAAATTCTTAACTCATTGTAATCTTCCCAGACCTATTCTGAAAGTTAACTACAATTATGTTTGAATGTCTCCCTACCACCCGGCCTAGATGCATTTCAAGTGCAACTTGTGCCACTATTTTCTAGGACAGGTATTACAAATTCACTTAACAGTGATGGTGGTAGTTGCAGTAACTAATTCCATTGAACTGGAGGTTATACTGAAAAAGACATAGATAGCAGATAGAGATAGAGATAAAAGATAAATAGGTATATGTGTGAATTTTCAGTTTAAGGATAATTATGAATCAAGTTTTATATAAAACAAGAGAGGAAATAGTAAGGGGAAACTGAAATCCCATCTCTGTCATTATAAGAAAAGTTAAATGTTTGTTTGTAATTATTTTTTCTTTATTGGCTCAAATATATGCAGAATTGAAAAAAACCTGTGGCTTATCTGAGTCCCACGAAGACTGGACATAGTCTCTTCTAAATTCTGCCTCAAATCTGCTATGTTTTTAACGGTTCTCATTCTTCTTGTTTCAGGGTCTTCACCTAGGAAAGCAACATGATAAATTTGCTATTCGTGATATTTATTATCCTCAAAATAATTGTATACATAGATAAGCAAGTCACCTCTTCTTAAAAGTAAAAGGATATGTAATACATTTCAAATAACTATTATTATCTACAAATTATAATTCTTTCTACAAATAAAATGTGAATAGATATAGTATCACAAGTAATAATTTTAAGCGGTGATAACACAATAACACTTTGTAGGTTTGACCTTAAAATAAAAAATAAATCACTTGGAAATATGCTGTTTACCAATCCATGTTGCTGGGATTAATTAAAAATCTATGATTATGACCTGAGAAAGATGACTGAATAGGAACAGCTCCAGTCTGCAGCTCCCAGTGAGATCAACACAGAAGGTGGGTGATTTCTGCATTTCCAACTGAGGTACCAGGATCATCTCAATGGGACTGGTCAGACAGTGGGTGCAGCCCACAGAGGGTGAGCAGAAGCAGGGCGGGGTGTTGCCTGACCTGGGTTGCAAACGGTTGGGGAACTCCCTCCCCAAGCCAAGGCAAGCTGTGAGGGACTGTGCCTCGAGGGACGGAACTATCCGGTCCAGATACTATGCTTTTCCCAGAGTCTTCACAAACTGCACACCAGGAGATTCCATTGGGTGCCTACATGACCAGGGGCCTGGGTTTCAAGCACAAAACTGGGCAGCCATTTGGGCAGACACCGAGCTGGCTGCAGGAGCTTTTTTTTTTTGGTACCCCAGTGGCACCTGGAATGCCAGTGAGACAGAACTATCCACTCCCCTGGAAAGGGGCCTGAAGCCAGGGAGCTAAGTGGTCTAGCTCAGTAGATCCCCCCACCATGGAGCCTAGCAAGCTAAGATCTACTGGCTTGAAATTCTTGCTGCCAGCACAGCAGTCTGAAGTACACCTGGGACCCTGGAGCTTGGTTGGGGGAGGGGCAGCTGTCATAACTGAGGCTTGAGTAGGCACTTTTCCACTCATAATGTAAACAAACCTGCTGGGAATTTTGGACTGGGCAGAGCCCACTGCAGCTTGGCAAAGCTGCTGTAGCCAGACTGCCTCTCTAGATTCCTCCTCTTTGGGCAGGGCATCTCTGAAAGAAAGGCAGCAGCCCCAGTCAGGGGCTTACAAATAAAACTCTCATCTCCCTGGGACAGAGCACGTGGGGGAAGGAGCAGCTGTGGGTGCAGCTTCAGCAGACTAAAACATTCTTGCCCACTGGCTCTGAAGAGAGCAGCGGATCTCCCAGCACAGTGCTCTAGCTCTGCTAAGGGACAGACGACCTCCTCAAGTGGGTCCCTGACCCCCATGCCTCCTGACAAGGAGACACCTCCCAGCAGGTGTTGACAGACTCCTCATACAGGAGAACTCTGGCTGGCATCTGGCGGGTATCCCTCTGGGACCAAGCTTCCAGAGGAAGGAACAGGCAGCAATCATTGCTGTTCTGCAGCCTCTGCTGGTGACACCCAGGCAAACAGGATCTGCAGTGGATCTCCAGCAAACTCCAGAAGATCTGCAGCAGAGGGGCCTGACCATTAGAAGGAAAACTAACAAACAGAAAGGAATAGCATCAATGTCAACAAAAAAGATGTCCACATAAAAACCCCATTTGAAGGTCACAAACATCAGAGACCAAAGGTAGATAAATCCACAAAGATAAGGAAAAAATAAAAATAAAAAATAAAAAAGGCTAAAAATTCCAAAAACCAGAATGCCTCTTCTCCTCTAAAGGATCACAACTCTTCACCAGCAAGGGAACAAAACTGGACAGAGTATGAGTTTGACGAATTTACAGAAGTAGACTTTAGAAGGTCTCTTCCAAGGCCTTCTCCTCCTTGGAGGAGAACAAACTCCTCCAAGCTAAAGGAGAATGTTCTAACCCAATGAAAGGAAGCTAAGAACTTTGAAAAAAGGTTAGAGGAATTATTTACTAGAATAATCAGTTTAGTACACAAGAACACAAATGACCTGATGGAGTTGAAAAACACAGCACAAGAACTTCATGAAGCATACACAAGTAGAAATAGCTGAATAGATCAAGGGGAAGAAAGGATATCTGAGATTGAAGATCAACTTAATGAAATACAGCATGAAGACAAGATTAGAGAAAAAAGAATGAAAAGGAACAAACAAAGCCTCCAAGAAACATGGGACTATGTGAAAAGACCAAACCCAGGTTTGATAGGTGTACCTGAAAGTGACGGAAAGAATGGAACCAAGCTGGAAAACACTCTTCAGGATATTATCCAGGAGAACTTGCCCAGCCTAGCAAGACAGGCCAACATTCAAATTCAGGAAATACAAGGAACACCACAAAGATACTCTTTGAGAAGAGCAATCCCAAGCAAGACACATAATTGTCAGATTCACCAAAGTTGAAATGAAGGAAACAACATTAAGGGTAGCCAGAGAGAAAGGTTAGTTACCCACAAAGGGAAGCCTATCAGACTAACAGTGGATCTCTCTGCAGAAACCCACCAACCCAGAGAGAGTAGGGGCTAATATTCAACGTTCTTCTTTTTTATTTTTTTTTTGAGACAGAGTCTCGCTCTGTCACCCAAGCTGGAGTGCAGTGGCACAATCTCGGCTCACTGCAAGCTCCACCTCCTGGGTTCACACCATTCTCCCGCCTCAGCCTTCTGAGTAGCTGGGACTACAGGCGACCTCCCCCAGGCCTGGCTAATTTTTTTGTATTTTTAGTAGAGAGGGGGTTTCGCCGTGTTGGCCAGGATGGCCTTGATCTCCTGACCTTGTGATCCACCGGCCTCGGCCTCCCAAAGTGCTGGGATTACAGGCGTGACCCACTACACCCGGCCTCAACATTCTTAAAGAATTTTCAACCCAGAATTTCATATCCAGCCAAACTAAGCTTCATAAGATTCACGTGCAAAGACTCACATAGGCTCAAAATAAAGGGATTGAGGAATATTTACCAAGCAAATGGAAAGCAAATAAAAGCAGGGATTGCAATTCTAGACTCTGATAAAACAGACATTTTATCTGTTTTAAATATAAAAAAAGACAAAGAAGCTCACTGCACAATGGTAAAGGGATCAACACAACAAGAAGAGCTAACTATCCTAAATGTATATGCACCCAAAACAGAAGCACCCAGATTAATAAAGCAAGTTCTTAGAAACCTACAGAGACTTAGACTCCCACACAATAATAGTGGGAGACTTTAACACCCCATTGTCAATATGAGACAGATCAATGAGACAGAAAATTAACAAAGATATTCAGGACTTGAACTCAACTCTGGACCAAGCGGACCTAATAGACATCCACAGAACTCTCCATCCCAAATAAACAGAATATACATTCTTCTCAGCACCACATCACACTTATTCTAAAACTGATCACAGAATTGGAAGTAAAACACTCCTCAGCAAATGCAAAAGAATGGAAATCCTAGCAAATACTCTCTCAGACCACAGTGCAATCAAATTAGAATTCAAGGTTAAGAAACTCACTTAAAACTGTACAACTACATAGAAACTGAACAACCTGCTCCTAAATGACCACCGGGTAAATAAAGAAATTAAGGCAGAAAGCAATAAGTTCTTTGAAACCAATGAGAATAAAGAAACAAATACCAGAATGTCTGGGACACAGCTAAAGGTGTGTGTAGAGGGAAATTTGTAGCACTAAATGCCCATAGAAGAAAGCAGGAAATATCGAAAAATCAGCACCGTAACATCACAATTAAAAGAACTAGAGAAGCAAGAGCAAACACATTCAAAAGCTAGCAGAAAACAAGAAATCACTAAGATCAGAGCAGAACTGAAGGAGAGAGAGACACAAAAACCCTTCAAAAAAATCAATGAATCCAGAGCTGGTTTTTGAAAAGATTAACAAAATAGATAGACTGCTAGCCAGACTAATAAAGAAGAAAATAGAGAAGCATGAAATAGATGTAATAAAAGATGATAAAGGGGATATCACCACTGATCCCACAGAAACGCAAACTACCATCAAAGAATACTATAAACACTACTATGCACACAAACTAGAAAATCTAGAAGAAATGGATAAATTCCTGGACACATACACCCTCCCAAGACTAAACCAGGAAGAAGTCAAATCCCTGAACAGACCAATAACAAGTTCTGAAATTGACACAGTAATTAATAGCCTACCAACAAAAAAAAGCCCAGGACCAGATGGATTCACAGCTGAATTCTACCAGAGCTACAAAGAGGAGCTGGTATCATTCCTTCTAAAACTAGTCCAATCAATAGAAAAAGAGGGACACCTCCCTAACTCATTTTATGAGGCCAGCATCATCCTGATACCAAAACCTGGCAGAGACACACAAACACACAAAAAAGAAAAATTCAGGCCAATATCCCTGATGAATATCGATGCAAAAATCCTCAACAAAATACTGGCAAACTGAATCCAGTAACACGTCAAAAAGCTTATCCACTGGCCAGTGCGGTAACTCACACCTGTAATCCCAGCACTTTGGGAGGCCGAGTGGGGCAGATCACGAGGTCGGAAGTTTGAGACAATTCTGGCCAACATGGTGAATCCCCATCTCTACTAAAAATACAAAATTAGCTGGGTACAGTGGCATGCACCTGCAGTCCCAGCTACTCAGGAGGCTGAGGCAGGAGAATTGCTTGTACCTAGGAAGCGGAGGTTGCAGTGAGCCGAGATCATGCCTGTGTGATGGAGCAAGACTCCATCTCAAAAAAAAAAAAAGAAAAAAAAGCTTATCCACTATGATCAAGTTGGCTTCATCGCTGGGATGCAAGGCTGGTTCAACATATGCAAATCAATAAACATAAACAGAACCAATTGCAAAAACCACATGATTATCTCAATAGATGTAGAAAAGGCCTTTGATAAAATTCAACACCCCTTCATGCTAAGAACTCTCTCAATTACTAGGTATTGATGGAACGTATCTCAAAATAACAAGGGCTATTTATGACAGACCCACAGCCAATATCGTACTGAATGGACAAAAGCTGGAAGCATTCCCTTTGAAAA